ACAATATCTTTGTCCGCCATTTTGATGCAAAATGTCCCCTACTCAGTAGAAATTTGCTACAAAATACGACATTTTCTATCCATTTTGACTACAACTGTCGCAGCGTTTTAAAACACGTTTTAAAATCCTACAACATTTTTTTGATGTACACAACAGTCACAAGTGAGTTGTAGGTTTGATTTACATGAAACTTTCATGCCGTAGGCCTGTTGTAGCTTGTCGCATGCAACGAAGTTGTACCGTGTAAATCGGCCCTAACAGATTCTCTAGGTTGTAGTAAAGTTGTTTTTCTTTTTATAAATTCCAAAATTGGTTTCCTTACAATTTTCCTTTATATTTGTAACAATCTGAAACTAAGAAACAAATTTAAACCACAGCAGCTCTTTGGGCGACTTTTTCCTTGCACAGCTGACAGATTTGGCAAGGATGACTGGAAAACAACATGCCTTATTTGCCTTGTTCAACAGCTTATAGCAATACAATGCCCACTTAGAGAAACATTATTGGGAAACTTACCAAAATCTCTGCATCTTTGTAAGCCCTACATAAATCTTCGTCTCCTTTTTTGGCAAAAGTTTTGTTTCAACATCGGCCTTGAGACGACGCAGAAGGAATGGCCTCAGAACCTGAGAAAACATAAAGAGAGGGCTTCAAAAAATGCCATCAAAAGTCACATCCCCTAACACCGTTATCCACCCTTTTGTCACACCAATTACCATTGTCTATGCTCTTCCAACTGTTAACGGATTGGTTGCTTTAAGCTGTGGTAGCCTACATGGACTCCTTTGGCAAGTGCAATTTCTACATTCTCTGGGATGTTGAGACCCTTAATTCAGCTTTCTGTTGTACTCACCGAGTGAAGACGTTCCACCAGCTGTTTTTCTTCAACAAGAGAGTTGGTGTTGAACCAAGCATCAAAATCCTGAAATAAAAGTTGACACAATACATTAGATATCTTTGGAAAATTAAAAGACATGTCGCCAACTATAGTATGAGAAGTGAGAAATCACTGCTGGGTTGGAACTAATGGCTGCATTAGAAGGCAGCTTGTACCAGGGCTGTTAAAGTAGCCAGCTGTCAGTGAAAATCACCATCTACATGTACAAAATGATCTGCTGATCTACTCTGTTGAGCTACATGTATTCAAGGCATTTGATTCTTTAGAAGACGATAGCAAAATCAGCCACATACTAATTTAGTAGTAACTTACATCAGCTGAGCTGAAAACATCAGGCAGCAGAAAGTTAAGCAGTGACCACAGCTCATGAAGATTGTTCTGCAATGGAGTTCCTGTCAACAGCAGACGATTTGTCGACCTGAGTTCTCTTACAATCTCTGAGAGCTGAGAACAAACAAAAGATATAAATGAATAATAAAAGACTGTAAATCCTCGAATTAGTGCCCNTCTCTAAATCAGTCAATTTAAATAGACAATATATTTTGTTCAGACTATTGTCAAAACCTTGAATACCATAAATCCTCAAATTTGCGCCTCCCCTCAAATAAGCACCCCCTTCAAATAAGCTCCCCACCTATCAGCCAAAATTTTAAATAAGCGCCCCCTCCCCTCCCCTCCCCTCCCCCTATTCATGGACGAGTAATGAGACAACAGAGGATGTATAGTTTTCATCGTGTAGTTTTAGATTTGTACATTGTTTCAGTTTGTAAACACATTAAGTTTGGAAAACAAATTACAAGTACTAACGGTCCTGTGATTTAAGTTTAGGATCAGCTTTTTATGTCGATAAACAGCTTATATGTTGCTGTTCATGCAGATATGATGTATTAAGGAATGTTCATGTCAGGCCATGATTTGGGAAAAATTTAATAAGTGCCCCCCTCCATGAAGCGCCCCCCTCGAATAAGCACCCCATGTCTTTTCCTAAATTTGAAATAAGCACCCCAGGTGCTAATTCGAGGATTTACGGTAATTTCAAAGTCATGAAGCGAGTAGCCTTCAAGGTAAACACTTTACTTCAACAAAAGAACTGGATGTTCTCAAACAAAATAAGCTTAATATACCTTAGACTTCTCATTCTTGATCCTGTGTGCCTCATCAATGATGATGTATCTCCAAGCAAACTTCTTAAACACAGCCTTCTCTCTTAGGACCATCTCATATGAAGTAACGCAAGTGTCCCACTCTCCTGGAAGCATGGTGTCGCGGATAAATGCTGCCTACAAATATTTAACAGAACACATTGATGGTTTTTTAGCTTTGTACTAGAGCCTTTTTCACATGAGCATCGAAAGTAATTTGCATTTTCTTTGGTTTGCTTTACTATGCTTAGCAATATTGGTTTAAAACTCATAAGTAGGTTGTATTGTGTAACTGCTAATTATCATGTGATCTGGAGGATCACATGTTCTGTAAAGGTAGTTGGAGAAAAAACCCTTGGAGCGTACAGACATGTATTTCCTTACTCGTGACACACACCACAGAGAAAGCCACATCACCCTTAGCTGGTTTTCATGCGAATCCTCTCTCCTAGTGGAATTGGAATTTGGAGATGTTGGTTTTTATGGAGGGCGGAAAACCAGGGTGCCTAGAGTAAAACCCTTGGAGCAAGGCGAGAACCAACAGTAAACTCAACTCATCACAAAGGCACTGGGTCAGATTCGAACCCAGGCCACATTGGTGCAAGTGCTCTCACCACTATGCCATCCCTGCTCCCTTTGAGTTTTGACGGGTTAACTGGTTTTCTAGTTTCCTTTGTGATTCACGTGAGTAATTACTTAAGTTTAGAGTTATGTTGTGCTACTATTAGGCAATCTTTACTTACTCTTTGCTCCTGAGTACCTATCAGGCAGACAGCCCTTATGGTCGGACACCATCTGTTGAACTCCGACATCCAGTTAGCTAATGTGGACTTTGGAACGATTACAAGATGAGGGCCTGACATTTCTCTAAAGTGCTTCATGTAACCCAACAAAGAAATTGTCTGGAGTGTCTTGCCAAGACCCTGTCACAGAGAGTAAACAAATGAAAAGACATGGTCTTGTTGTACACTGAAACAACTTTCACTGAATTCTTCATTAGTTATTTTAACTTTAACTAAATTTCACTTCTAAGGTAATTATCACCATACAAACTTGAAAACGCAAAGATCTGCAAAGACCTGAATTTTGCATTCTAAAAATTAGCAATTAGCAACATAAATTATTACCATTTCATCAGCCAGAATTCCATTGATTCCATTCTCAAACAAAGATATCAGCCAATTTAGACCCCTCAGCTGATAATCTCTCATTTCTCCATTCTTGATATCTATTGAGTAAAAAAGACCAGGTATACATGTAATTTTGATCAAATGTAAACTTAACGAAAAATAAACATTAAACACATCAACCACTTACAGTGAGGGTTCTGATCAAAGTGGACAACAGAGGTCTGAGCATGCTTATTTTGACTAATCAACTCCTCGTCTTCTTCTTGCTCTGTACGACGATGACGATGACTAAAACCAAGAGAATATTTTTGCATCATTGCATGTAGTGCAGCTCAGGTGTAATCTACCACAAACTATTATCTCCGAGTTACATACAAAATTATTTACACCATTAAACATGATTTTCATGATTTCCAGTCCATACATACTGCGCACTCTGGAGAGTTTGTCGGGGTTTTCTGTTTTGTTTCATGCAAGACATCACAAAATGTAAACATTCTGCAACTACTTACATGAAGTAAATTCAAAGTTTCAAAACAACCACCATTATGGATGCGAAGCGGTCAAAGCTTTATGCTTTGTTCTTTCTCAGATCAGTTGATGAAACAACTTCGCAGCCGTAAAAATCAATGAAGCTTTGGAAAAAAATTTGAAAGGCCTCAAAGATAAGGTATGTGGTTCGTAACAAATAACATTGATGCACATTCCATCAAGTGAGACTTAAAATGTTTATAAACATTAGGGTGCTGAGACTGCCCAGTACTGACTGGAAATTATCTTAAAGCTTAGTTGGACTAATATCTTGCCCTTGGTCACAACAGTGTAGTCTACATGAATGCCACCCAAAGTTTTCCTTTGTATTACTTACTCTCCACAGTCTGATAACTTCCTTGATCTGCTTGGAAACTGTGGCNAAGAGAATATTTTTGCATCACTGCATGTAGTGCAGCTCAGGTGTAACCTACCACAAACTATCATCTCCGAGTTACATACAAAATTATTTACACCATTAAACATGATTTTCATGATTTCGAGTCTATACATACTGTGCACTCTGGAGAGTTTGTCGGGGTTTTCTGTTTTGTTTCATGCAAGACATCACAAAATGTAAACATTCTGCAACTACTTACATGAAGTAAATTCAAAGTTTCAAAACAACCGCCATTATGGATACGAAGCGGTCAAAGCTTTATGCTTTGTTCTTTCTCATATCACTTGATGAAACAACTTCGCAGCTGTAAAGATCAATGAAGCTTTGGAAAAAATTTGAAAGGTCTCAAAGATAAGGTATGTGGTTTGTACCAAATAACATCGATGCACATTCCATCAAGTGAGACTTAAAATGTTTATAAACATTAGGGTGCTGAGACTGCCCAGTACAGACTGGAAATCGTTTTAAAGCTTAGTTCGACTAATATCTTGCCCTTGGTCACAATAGTGTAGTCTACATGAATGCCACCCAAAGTTTTCCTTTGTATTACTTACTCTCCACAGTCCGATAACTTCCTTGATCTGCTTGGAAACTGTGGCGCTTTTATTTTCAAAGGACTTGTTGGTTGTTTCTTGGATCTTGTGGTGTTCATAAAATGGGCAAAGATCTCTGTCCGTTTCAACAGGTAGTTAAACCTTGTGGCTTTATCTCGTTCCTACGAAACAAACACAAGGTATTGATTGTAACAATGCTGTTTCAAACCCTATATTTTAAAAAATATGTGATGATAGTGGATAAGTCAGTGCAAAGGGTGACAAAAATCACTAAAACAGGGTTGTGCACGAGTTAGCAGTTAAGGTCACATTAAAGATGTCAATTTTTCTTTCTCATTTCCATTTCATTTGGAATGGCATGTAGATCTACAAATGTAGATCTAAAAATTGAAGAAGGGTTCCTTTCTGTTACCTTTGTAACTTGATGACTAGTACATGTACATGTATAATACAAATTTCTTATTCTGTTAAGGCAAAGGCAAACTTGGGAGTTCAGGAAGGTCTTCAGAGAGCAACTGTTAGATTATGTTACTAATACTTTACTCAAAGCTAAGGGAGTGGGTTGGAATGATCATTACTCATGAAAGAGCCATTAGTATATATTTGGGCTGGAAATACTATACATGTAGTACTCACAAAAGGAGACCCATTCTTCTCGCATTACTTCATATTTTAATCTATACAAAACAGAAATGCTAGATACAGTAATGACATTTGAACAGTGCCTACCAGTTTCTCTTCATAATCCTGAGGTGCAGCCTGGAACGGCACAGATGGGCCCTTTGGGGTTGGGGCTTTCTCTTCGGCTTCATCACCAGACTAAAGAGAGAAAACACATAATAAAGCTGTCCTTTGCTAAATTCTTTAGGAGATAAAGTCAAGCTGAAGTTACTGATTATTTTGCAGGGAGAGAGGAATCTTGAAAATTTACCACCCCCACCCCCCCTCCCCAACCACCACATTTACAAATCATGGTGATGAAGGACTCATTTTGTCCTTAAGCCTTACACCAGTTTGATACATTTTCAAGAGTGCATTGATGGGAATACAGCAGTAGATTAAGTCATCAACCAGCTGTGAATGTTGCTTAAATATGTATAAAAAAATTCATACTTCCCTGTTCCTCGGTAATCAGGGGGGATTTTAATTTTCGACCTAATTCCCTGTTCCTCGGTAATCAGGGGGGATTTTAATTTTCGACGTAATGAATGGGTGTCAAAATTTGCGGGCGTAAATAAGCACTAAAAGAGTCGTTCCCTATGCAAGAATGAAATTTTCTGTACTAAGCATGCTACAATCGAGGTTACTAGCATTTTGTACCGTAAGACTGAATTATAAGTTCAGCTTGTGGTCGCCATTTAGCTTATATTTTTATTCAACATGTAAAATTTGATTTGAAGCCATCCCTTTAGTTTGAAACATAATTCCGAAGTCTTCAATGTTCTCTGAAATAAAAATATCATCTCTTCGTTTCTTTTACAATCGAAAGAACTAACAGACCTTGTCTACTGGGGATAAATACAACAACAACGAGATGAAATGCACATGGCTTTCCATGGTTGTTTCGCGCTCAATCTTCAATTTACAATACAGTATTCCGCGAATTGTTCGTACAGCATGGGTTAATTTACAGCTAAAACAGACTCTACATTTAGTAATACCTCCTCTGGGGTGGTGCTTTCGCTGCTTGACGACTCTCCGTCTTCGTAATTAGGCATGTTTTCCGTGGAAAAGAAGAGCGACTTTCACCGATCAATGTAAAAAGCCGGGAAGACAATTTTGGCGGCACGCAAGAGAGGCTATTGATTAGCAGTCCGAACTGAATTCTGGGATATGTTAGGATCCAGTCTTCCCACGCGCACTTTCCAATCCTCGTGGAAGAAAAATGGCGACCGTCATTGCTGAGTTACTTTTGTGTAAATTGTGTCGCCATTCTATAACGACTCCTTTTAACTAGATAGTTAATGATCAATGTAGCGATAAACTTTACTGTTTGAAAAGATCCACTCTATCATGAAGTTTACAATTTGTGCGATGCGTTTCAATAAATTGTGATAAGTTTCGGAGCAAGCTGATAAACTTTGCTGAGGTGCGCTCTTTGAAGAACAACCTACATATCGAAGGATTTCTGGAAATCAAGATGCAAATCAAAAGCGTGGAAGCCTTGAAGTCCTGGTTGACAACCCGTTTGGAATCAGTGTAAGTAAGCTTATATTAACTGAAGAATGAGAGACGTACATGTTAAAATCGTAATCGAATCTAGCCCGGGCGCTTGCTCTGTAGGTCAAGGATTCGTTTAATCTACAGTAGGTCGCTCGTTGAAATTAAGATTTATAACGTGAGGGATATTACTTGGTTGGGATCTATTTCAAAGAAGTATTTCCGTTTCGTGACGCGTATCTGCCGTTTAAGTTCAAGATCTTGAGAAAACTCTTACACGATACAGAAACAACTGTTGATTGGTTTGAGCAATCTGATTATCAAAATTAGGAATTGCTGACGGGTACAAATTGAGACTATTTGATCACTGCATTGTAACATTATATATATAAAAGTACTAGCTGTAAGCAAATTTTTTTGATCGAATTAGTACTACCATAAACATATTCCTTCAAGGTTGGATTGTTTACATGTGTTCGATTCTCGTCTATTTCTACGTCTGTTGTTTTATTATTTGCTAAATTCCTTCGGGTGTCAGTTTCAAGGGTGCATGAATATCTTTGTGGGTTGGCAGATTTGGTTAAAAAAAATCGTTTTACAGTTGACGGATTATAGATTTAATCAATATACTGTACTTAGTTTTGATAGATTTGCAGATCTTATAAATGCAGTGGATTGTGGATTTATCCATGAGCTTACATTTTTGGAACATATTTTGAAGTTTCCCAGACTAAGGAAAAATAGTGCAAATTGATAACTTGAAGAAAAATAGAAAGCATTTTGCAAATTAATGGATTCACAAACCCATAGATTCATGCATCAACAGGCTGTGGATTTTTCTGTATCAACACAATGAAAGTGGGGGTATTATATATGAAAAGCCAAATTTACAGTTTTCTGTAATCAACTGAAAGCTTGATTTCTTCTGGAATTTTTTTAGTTGTGATGCTGACCCAGCAGCTCTGGCCAAGTATGTTGTTGCATTGGTGAAAAAGGACAAGCCTGTGGAGGAACTCAAAGATATTTGTGTGGACCAGTTAGAAGTTTTTCTCTCCTCTGGTAAAATCCCCATTACAAATTAGTGATAATTATTTTAGTACCAACTTGATCCTTAAGTTGAATTTTGACTGGATTTGCCATTTAGATTGTTCATAGCTAATAGAGGGGAATGGTTAGGAAGTTACTGGGCAAAGTTCTTTGTTGTAGGTTTTTTTTTTTTTTTTGCTTTTTTTGGCCTTGTCCATGCACAAAACACAATAGCTGTTAACAAATGACTGAGGAACTAACCAACAGAAATGTTTTGGTTAGGTAATTCATGCATGGTGTAAAAGTGCAAAACAAAAGATCATGCACAGTCATGGACCTTCCAACATAAATCTTGTCATCTTTGTTTGCTCCTTTGATGTTTGCCGGGCTTCATAACCATTCCCCTCTAGTAACTATGGACTGCTTTATTGGTTTGTTTTTTGTTTTATTTCCAGAAACTGCCAACTTTGTGAATGTGCTATTTGAAGCGCTGACCAATTTTTCGTACATGCCTCAACCAATTGTGGAGCCAACTCCAGGAATTGCTGTTCCCACCACACCCAAAGTAATTCCCATACAGCCAACTCCTAATTCTACCACGCCACCAGAAAAACCAAGGAAATCTTCCATATCAGAGGATGTTTTAACACCAAGGGTGCTAGCAGAGGTAAACATTTTTTAGCCACGTTAATGTTTGAGTTCCAAGACTGACCAACATTGACTTATAATGACATAATAGCCCTTATGCGTGATGACATCACACAAGCAAATTTCAATACCAAGCCTCACTTTAAAATGCAAATTGTAAATTTTATCGTAGACAAATTCCCAAAGCAGCAAAGTTGAAAAGAATGCCCTCATGAAAATAACCCTAGGGTATTTGGGGTTTGACAGAATTTCTCACAAACGAGGCTTTGTGGTAAATTTTGAGTATGTGATGTAATCATGAATAAGACCTATTTGTTAAGTGGGAAGTTGACGAGGATAAAGAAAATTCTTAACCAGTTTTTTTTTTTTTTAAATTGGCTGCAAAATTGCTAGAACTATCATTGAAATTAATAAATAGTAGGAAGAATTTAATTTCTGGAGATCCAGAATCTCAAGAATATCCAGAAGACACTGAGAATTTAGCTCAGCTATTATGTAGTACACAGAGATTACTTGATGTTGTGTCATAAAAGAATCGTTTTAAACAAGTCTGTAAGCAGTAGACCATTTTACAGTTGTCTGGCCTGTTTCTCGAAAGTCCCGGAAGTGTTTTTGGGCCTGAAAAGCCATTTTTTAGTCAATCGGTATTAAAAGACAGAGAGGTGTACACGCCTGAAACTTCTTGTACAGAATGGAACCTCTGTTTATACTAAGAATATGTACAAAGAACAGCTTTGTAATCATAAGGTTTGAGATTTTGCTCCAGCTTTCCAGGTGCGAAAACTTTTCAGGACCTTCGAGAAATGGGCTCCAGGCCTTCAATGGCAGCAAGGCTGCAGGTGACCTTGTTTTGATAAAAACCCCTTGTTTTAGTTCTGTAAATCGAGTTGTTCTTATGCTAACTAGTTGGCATTTAAATGAGAAAAGCAGAGAGACCTGAATCAAAGCAACATTACCTCCAGTCTCGCTTTCATTCATAGGCCAGTTGACTAAACACACAACTATAAAATGGCCTATTGTGCAACGAAATAATATCAATGTCAGAATAGAATTGTGCAAGCAAGCACTGAGTGAAAACTATGAAAGTATAAGTTGATTTAATTTGCTGATTTCCATTGTTCTAGTCTTCCGTGCTCGATGATGACGACAGAGATTTCAAAAGAACAAGAAGAGCAACTGACTCCAGTGAGAGAAGCACAAGTGGACCCAGCTCTATTGTGTCAAGCAGTGGGGATCGATCTCGCAAACGAAGGGCCGATGATGATGTTCGAGGCAGAGGTGACTTCTCAAAGTTTCCAAAAGAGGAAGCTGTTGGGATGAGGAGGGCTGATTCTGAACCTAGAGACAATGACAATGCTACTTACCCTATTCCTAGTGCGATGCTGCGAGACAGAGGTACTAACAAGTACATGGACAACCAGGACAGGCGGTCTGGTGGAATGAACTCTCATGATGACTCGAGGGGAAGGCGTGGAAGTCCATCGTGGGATCGTCGAGGTGGGAGGATGGGAAGAGGAAGGCCTTTTCGTGATAGATACAGAGATGACAGGCTACGACACGGTGGACGAGATGAACGTGAGAGGGGTGGAGCTAGAAAGTCTCGTTGCCAAGATTATGACGGTATGCACTAATAATTATTTATGCTTCAGAAAGCATAAATAAGTACTGACATATCTGTGAAAGTTTGTCATGTTTCTCCTTAGAATGCAAACAAATGTAGAGAAAGTTGAAAGTGGTCCAGCATCTTTCTTTGGTTTCAGCATTTTGATAGACAAAACAATATTTTTGAAAGTCATCTTTCTTTATATTTTTTTTATGTTCAGAGATTTTTCAAATTTATGAAAGCTGTGAAATGGTGAAGAACAGCATGTCCTATTTAATCTGACAAATGAAAATGATAACTGAAACTGAGAGGATGGGAAAAATATGCTTTACAATTCACTTATTCTGTCTAGTAATGGAAATTATGATATGGCTAGCTTGGTGAGTGGGCAAGATGAGCCAAATTCTGCACTATGATTTGCTACCGGAGAGGGCAAGATGGCACTATCTTGCCCACTCAGGACAACCTGCTGTATCCTGCAGGAAAAATTTCCCTGCAAGCGATATAATGAATCCCTTATTGACCAAGTGTGAGGTCAAGATGGCTGGATATTGGCGAGTTTATGGACCTTGACCAATATCCAGCCATGTTGACCTCATGCTTGGTCAATAACCCATACATATTGCTGACAGAGAAAATATTTAATGCAATTACTGTACAAAATTAATATCATTCAAATTTATATAAAAAATAATGGGTAAAAACCTTAACAAAATTTAACTAGTTTCTTATTTCCTGTTGCTAGAAAAAGGATTCTGTATGCGTGGAGAGCTGTGTCCGTTTGATCATGGAAATGACCCAGTTGTTGTCCAAGATGTCCTCCCTCCAGGGATGTTAGCCTTTCCAGGTGGCCAACCTATACCTGGAACAACATTACCAGGCAGTGCTGTTCCAATACCTGGAAATTATCCACCTCCTCCATCCTCCCAGCCCCCTCCTCCCGGTACCGTGGGGACATTACCTAACGATGCTCCAAAATCTGAGGCAAACCAGGAAAGTCCTGATACCACTGTACCTGTGAGTGGTCCTCGACCCCCAGCACCATCTAGAATGGTTCCTCAGCACAGCCAGGCCCCTGTTATGCCACTACCCACTGTCCATATGATACAGCGACCAATGTTAGGAGGGCAGGTGCCTCGTCCTCCCTTTGCTAATCCATTTGAAGGTGAGTTATAAGTTCACTTTATTATATGGCAAGTTAGTCTTGAGGTAAATCTGAGCATTTTGATTGGTTCTGCCAATATACCCCAGTGCAGCCCTAGCCTTTCACTCGGTTAGTAAGAGGTAAATATTTACTACGTCTTTACTATTACATGGATTTATGTTTTGACATCTAACTGACAGTTAGATTAATTAAACAAAGTTTAGACAGCATGTAAAGGTTGTGGTCTAGACACATCTGCTCTTGTTGTGCTACATCCAAGTGGTCGACTTGAACTGCAACTCTGCCAGAGTAGTAATGCAATTTGGTAAATTTTTAGCAAATTTTAGCCTAGATTTCTTTGATCTGTGGCACAATTAAAATAACATCCTCAAATACAGTTCAGGCCAGTAACTTGTTGTCCATTTTATATTAGATTCCTATAATCCAGAACAGCCTCAGTTTGATAGGGCTCCTGTATGGATGAGACTTGGCAATGGTCGTCCACCCCACCCCATTCCACGGCCCCCTCAAGGAGTGTTCCATCCTGTCATGGGTATGAGGTCAAGAGAGCTATTGCCTGTCACGCCAAATCCACCTCAGCTTACTGTACAAGGTAATTAAATTGTAATGGCCAGTATCAATTGGTCATTTGAGAATATATTTACTATTTTTTTTTCAATTCAGTTTGCGCTACATTTGGTACTCAAAGTGTCGAACATAACCCTGGCAAAAATTCTTTGGCAGGATTTTTGGCAGGATCTTTGAAAATCCAAAAGTCACATTGATTAACAGATAGATCTTCGAGACGTCGACAATCTTAGAAAGATCTTGGTAAAGATCTTTGCAAATGTCCTTGTAAAGGCCCTGTAAGATCCTCAAGCAGGCTGTAAAGATGACCAATTTTCAGGCTTGCCATTTGGTTAAGCTATAACTATGATTTATTTGCCAGGATTAATTCTCACTAGCCCCCCAGAAGTCCATCCATTACAATACTTCTGTACTTTGGATTTCATGGAACATTTCCCCCCAAAAAAATCCACTTACCCATTGGGCAAGTGAAGGCTAGAGAACTGTACACCCAGTCTGTTGGACCTGACTTTCTTTGCA